GGGAGAGGCCCTCCCCCGCCCCGCCCCGCCCTGTCGCCCCGGGGCCTCCCGCACCGCTAGGGTAGTAGCTGGAGCATTGAAGACACCCGAACTTCACTTGCACGCTGCGGAACCCCCATTCACCAGACAATGTGGAACGGTGCTGCCGCCAAGGCCGCGAGAAAAGCCCCAACACCCAGCGTCCGACCTGCCCGCTCCAAGGTTGCTCCGCAATGACAATCCAACCCAGCGTTTGCACAGCCCGACCCCCCAGGGCAGCATCGATGAACCCGAGCTCACTCCCAGGACAAGGTCTCTGCGGCGGTGGCAGCAAGGCTGAAACCCCGGCCCTCTCCTGCAGCTACTCAGGAGGACGGAGCTTCAAAGCCAGTCCACAGCGGCGGAGTGCATCTGCGCAGCCCCCCCCCCCCCCCCCCGCCCGCAATCCTGTCTGCACCGGACGCGGCCAGCCAGCACTCTGCCCCAGCCGCACCCCATCCCAGGTTTTACCTCGCGCCTGGTGTCAAGGCCTGGCCTGAATTTGAGCTCAACTTCCCCAGTAGCTTAAGCCGCAGGAGTCCAGCTCATTGATGTTACTCACTAGTCTTAAACCGCTGTAACACTGACCACTCAAACGCAGCCAAGGTTTCTTTTTCTCTGGTCGCTACTCTATGTTAGAGACCCACTGAGTCTGGGGCTAATTTCTCTTGGGGATAGATAGGCAGGGCAACTTGGTGGGACTGGCTTTTTAAGCTGGCTTTCCAGCACACAGTCACACAGGACAAAAAGAAATGGTGGTTTCCCAGTAAGACTCCAGACACTAAACTGTTGGTGGCAGCAAAACTTTTTATTCAACTGTGGTTTAAAAGAATTTCGAGAATGAATGCATTTAGATGACCAAATAGACTTTTAAGCACATTATCATTGCCAAATAGCTGAAATTTTCACTTCTTTTTCCGGGTAGAGTAACTACCCTTTTGCCGGTGTAGTACCGCAGACATGTTAATAAAAGGCGAGTCAACAGCGCAGGCCTCCTACGACCAGGAACTCGCTTTCACAGGTGAAATGAGGGATTAAAACCATGCCATCGACAGGTGCACTTACCCCTGGGCTCCTTGAAGGCGTGCCAGTTTAGTCTTTGGAGGTCCCCGAGTACCATTTTAAGTGTTACCATGTTACTGCTGCTGAGTAACAGTGCAAGTGCTAAAATGCAAAATGCAGATGTACAGGGTTTGGAAATCGTGCAGAAAAAGAAAATTCAAAAAACAACTCAAGAGCCTTTTACAGAGGAAACAAAACAACGTGGCAATCACAAGTCTAAAGGATGACTTTATCGATACACCAAGCTTGCAAAATGACAAACCTATTTATCAGAATCTAATTTGGTAAGGACATCAGGTAAAGTAGCAACACAAAAGCTGTCACATTCTTCCAACTAAAAAACAGGCCCCCTCAATTCTCAAGGGGTCAGCAGTTACAGAAAAAGTACAAATCCATCTATTATTGCTTTTACAGTCTTAACAGTGCATCGCCAGAGTCTAATCTGAGTTGTGCGAGTGAGTTTATCAACAGGAATGACTATATTCCTCCTCAGAGGGTAAAGCCCACTTCACTTAACACTGCACAGACTACCCACCCAACCGGTCTTAAAGCTATCAGGCTTCTTAATGGATTTCAGGCACAAGGTAATTTGTGGTTTCTTCTACCGTTATCCCTATTGCAATTAATTCCACTTTTCAAATCCCGAACAGAAAGGTGCGGATCATTCCTCCTTTCAAGCGTGTGCTTGGCCACAAACAAGCATGGGGACGATCAGTGTTGTTCTGCCCACTCCCCCAACCGTTTTTTAGAGGGCTCCATTCTCCAATGGCCATTTTACAGGCCAAGAAAATAGAACATCACCCAAACGCACAGGGGCACCAAGACAAAGCGGAGGGCACTGCTTACCATTTTAGGTGCGCTCACCCAGACTTATTAAATACTAGATTAAAAAAACAACAATAATAAAAACCTTTTTCACTTTGGACAATGCAAGAACAAATAGCAATTAAGTCTGGGTATCAGGTGTCAATGCATGACAGGTGATGAATCCATTTGACTTGAGACAACTTTTCAAATAAGTTTATTTGAAGCGAAATAAGCTACTGCCAAGAAACTTTATGAAAGTTCCATCTCAAAAGGGTCAAAAAAGGGGAATTAACTGCTATGAATTCTTTGCATTCAGGGCTGCAAAACAAAGACACATATTATTTAAATCAGTTTTATTTAAGAATTTCCAACATTGACAACTCTTATAAAAAGCATCCAAGCACAGGACACAGAACTGCAGCAAACAGCATTCTTCTGGGGAGCTAACAGACAGAGAACTTGCACCCGCGAGACACCTGGGCTCGCTGGTGAACTCTGCTTCCAAGTACTCCCGCAAAGCACACCACAAGCTCAGTCCATGTTCTCAGCCCACCAGCTTCAGTTCACGTTCCCACACTTGCAGATCGGTAACAGGAGAACACACACCATACAGCATTCACAGCAGTGGACGAGGGGGGAGGGGAGGTACAAGTGTCATTTCACTAACACATTCAGCTAAGAGGGTTATCTAAGAACAAAACTCAAAGTCTTCCCACAGATGTGGATGTCCTTTGAATGCAAAAACATTCGTACGTTATTTGCTAGCAATGCTCTCTGCACACTCTCTCACCAAAGCCCACAGGATCGAGAGACACATCTCGCCAAGTTAAAAAATATCCATTATGCACCACCAAGTCTCTGCACGCGCTCTCCTTTTCTCGCTCATACTAGCCTTTCATGCCTCGGCACCATCATCAATCCCACACAAGGTTTCAAAAGTTCAAACAGCCTTCTGGTTCCATCTCACAGCCTTGCGTTCAGAGCGTTGATACGACTCCATGACATAAAGAGTAGCGGATAAAAATGGAACACCCACCGTCAAGACGCAGCCTGTGCAGTGTGATGGCGAACTCTCGGATGAGAAAGCGTGTGACAGAAGCATTCCTATGGCAGAGTATTTACAGCACTACTTTCAATGAAGTGCTTCTTCCATAAACATTTGAAATGAGATGAACTGCAGAGATTAAATGAAGGCTTCATATTGTACTTTTGCATGTGAGGGGAGACAAGCGTTAAAAACCAAAACCAAAAGAACCAAACACCGCGAGACACCGTCCGTCACCTCCCAGGAGAGGTTCCCAGGGAAAACCCATGTGGTGGGGTTCAAATTAAAACAAGGAGAAAAAGATGCAGTTCTAACCAATGGTTTCCACTTTGAACATGCAAAGAATTCTCTTAACAAGTCCAGGGATAAACGAGTACAGGAGAAACCTTTTGCTATCAATTGTAGTGTTGGTTTACCATTCAGGCAAACAGCAGCTCCCTTTCAGCCACTCACTAGTTCAACCTTTTATGTAACAAAACTTGTAAAATTCCTTTAGCTCTTCCTCTTTTTTTGAAAGAAAAATGTCAAAAATACTGCTGAATATACTCCACACTGAACAAACCAATTTGGAAAATCCTTAGTACATACGTATTTTACAATATACTTACCATGAGTTTAGAAAAATTTAAATTCCCACCATTCCATACCTACCAACCAACCAACCAACCAACCAACCAACCAGACACCCACAACCCACAACCTACATTCCCCAGCCAGAAGACTTGGAATCCATGCTTGAGCCGAATCCCCCATTGAACCCACTGCCTGAGCCAGCATTCGAGGCTGAGCCCCAACCAATGGCCGCACCAGAATTAGACCCACTGTAAGAGTTATTCCCAGAACCGAAAGCCTGGTTTGGCTCTCTCTGCATGTTTCCCTGGCTTTGGTTATTGCCTGATGGGCCTGACTGGTTCTGCTGACTGGCCAGCATGCCCATCATACCCCAACTGCTCTGCAGGGCTGCTTGGGCAGCAGCCATCATTGCTGGGTTAATGCTGAAAGCACCAAAGTTCATCCCTCCCCCCATATTGCTACCCTGATTATTTCCCAAGCCAGCTCCACCCCCTCTACTGTTACCAAACCCACCCTGATTCCCAAAGCCACCTGGATTACCACCAAATCTTCCACTTCTTTCTAACTGTCTACTGCTATTGTGCTTAGGTTCTGCATTGGAGATATGCACGCTGATGCCTTTAATGATCAGGTCCTCGCCGCAGAGAGACTGGGCCACCTACAAGAGACAGGGATGGAACCACTAAACCTGACCTTCCCCAGCCCAGCAAGAGACCCTAAATTTTAAACTCTACTTATCTAAGCCGGAGGATGTTCATTTCATTCCCCACCCTACCCTCCCCCCAAAAAAAACCTTTTGACTTTTCACAGCCAACCTAGGGCCACCCAGCCTAGGATGGCAGCCAGCTGGGACAAACTAGTACCACAATCATCTTGTGGTGCTGAGGACTGAGCCCAGTGCCTTGCCCATGTAAATCACATGCTGTGTGGTGAGCTCCCCCGCCCCCCTCTTCCCCCCCCCCCCCCCCCCCGCCCACAAATGACCAAGGAGAAAAATACCTGATCGTCTGCGAATGTAACAAAGGCAAAAGCCCTGAATGGTTTGGGGATAAAGACGTCCACCACCTCTCCATACTGACAGAAGAACTGCTGCAGCTCCTCAGCTGTCATGTCCTCTGTGCACCGCCCCACAAACACCTTTCTGCTTCTCAAAGGCTCATCTAAGCTTTGCTGGTCAAAATGAATAAACAAAAAAATCAGAGTTACTTTGTAAATGACGTAGAGGGAATCAGGGTAAAAATGCTACAAATCCTAGTAAGGCAAGCCAGGCAATTGTGGCTCATGCCTAAAATCCTAACTACTCAGGAGGCTGAGGTCTAAGGATCACATTTCTGAAGCTAGGGGAAAGTCTGTGAGACTGGCATCACCAAACCCCCAGAAATGGAGCTGTGGCTCAAGTGGTAGAGTGCTATCCTTGAACAAGTTGCTGCTCAGGGACAGGACCCAGGCCCTGAGTTCAAGCCTCAGGACTGGCACAAAAAACAAAACAAAACAACAACCATCACCAACTTAAGTCATCTAAAGGAAACCCCCTTTCCATCTCTTCTATCAGAACTTAGCTATCTTGGAAGCCTTCAGAGGAGACTGGGGATTATGTCAGTAGTGGGCTAGCACTTGAGCCACGGTTCCACCACTTTCTTGCCTGGGCTGGCTTCAACAGCAATCTTCAGACCTCAGACTCCTGAGTAGGATTATAGGTGTGAGCTACCAGCACCCAACTGGGAATGTTTTAAATTATGAAATTTTAAATTAAATTGGAATTAGGAGAGAAATGTCCTAGCAAAAATGATGTTTCAAAAAAGAAAGTCTTCTTACTTAAACCAAATTAGGTCTGTATAATAAATTAATGTATTTTGTTATCTTTACATTTTAACAAGCAACTGAGAAATTGTTGCTGGGTGCTGGTACCTGTAATCTTAGCTACTCAGGAGGCTCAGATCTGAAGACTGTGGTTCAAAAGCCATCTGGAATAGGAAAATCTAGGAGGCTCTCTATTTCCAATTAACCAGCAAACAAAACAAAACAGAAGTGGTGCTGTGGGCTCAAGTGGTAGTGCTAGCCTTGAATGAAAAAGTTAAGGGACAGCACTCAGTCCCTGAGTTCAAGCCCCAGTATGGGCACAAAAAAAGGGGGGGGGGACCCAACAGAACACCAAAGTTTTAGTTTGGATGAATAAGAAACATTTCAAGCCAACATAAGATATTCAGTACACATTAAAATCCTAAGACTTCAACAAAGCAAGAGTTTGAGAACACATCCCGCATAATGCCTCTAAGTTTGTTGGTAACAATTCTCAAAGTACAGAGGAGAAAAAGAGCAAAATACCTTGGAGTTGGGGAGTTTACAGTCACACCATCGCCCATCTATCATATGTCGCTGGGACATTACTTTCACTTGTGTTTCATAGTCCGTAAAGCGAACAAAGCCAAATCCTTTTGAATGACCAGTTTTAATGTCTTTCTTGACCTAGAAAAGATGACTGAATTTACTCCAACACACACTCACACCAAGTTTCTTAACATAAAAAAATGCATGGCTGGGGCTGGGAAGGTGGCTCAGTGGTAGAGTGCTTGCCTTGCATGCATGAGGCCCTAGGTTCAATTCCTCAGTACCACATAAGCAAAAAGAAAAAAAGCCGGAAGTGGCGCAGTGTCTCAAGTGGTAGAGCGCTAGCCTTGAGCTGAAGAGCTGAGGGACAGCGCCCAGGCCACGAGTTCAGGCCCCACAACCGGACCCCCCCGCCCCCCCAAAAGCATGGCTCCGCCTGTAGTCCTAACTACTCAGGAGGCTGAGATTTGAGGATCACAGTTCAAAGCCAGTCTGGGCAAGAAAGTCCATGAGACTTTATCTCCAATTAACCACCAGAAAACTGGAAGTGGCACTGTGGCTCAAGTGGTAGAGCACTTGCCTTGAGCTGAAGAGCTGAGGGGCAGTGCCCAGGCCGAGTTCAGGCCCACGACTGACCCCGCCCCCCCAAAAAAGGAAACACCAATGGAGGTAACTGGGGAACACTCATTGACATCACAGAATTTTAATAGGAGGTTTTAGAGTGCACAAAAAAACTAGATTTGGTTACATATCTTGACTAAATGAATAGGAAAAGGCAGAAAACCTGCCACTAATGAATGAGGAAAGGAGCTAATGCTGCACACTACTTCCCTAAAGCCTTAGGGCTTAACAGTATGAAAGGTGATAGCAGTGTACAAGGTCAAGTTTTGTTCAGTGCCCTCTAGGCAGAAACGCTATACAACAAACATTAATTTTCACTTGCTGACCTGAAGGACAGTACCACTGTCCTAACAGTAAGCTGGGGCCCACTCACTGGTAGAACAGGACTGCTAAAACCAAAGTTCACCTGCACCATGAGAACTTCTCCGAAGGTACTAAAATATTCTTTGAGATCCTGTTCGGTTGTTTCCCACGGGAGGCCCAGTACGATTAGATCTGATGTTTTCTGGACTGCCCTTTTCACCTTCACTGCCGATGAAGCATCTGTCTCATCCATTTTCCTTTTGTTATCTAAACAAAACAAGCAGAAACCTTACTAGGTACAAAGCAATCAGAAGACCCTAGGAGTAAGGCGCACAGTGGGGAGGGTAGCATTGGCTCTCATGACACAAGGCAGAGGAAGGGGTTGTGAGCTCTGACTGCTGCAGTGCGGTTTCCAACTGGGGGCTCATAAAAATCCCAGTCATAATCATGCTGACTCTCAAGAGGTCAATAAAAACAAAACCTACAGCCTTACAACTTTGTAGATTTTAAGTAATTGGGGGCTGGGAAGGTGGCTCAGTGGTAGAGTGCTTGCCTTGCATGCATGAGGCCCTGGGTGATTCCTCAGCACCACATAAACAAAAACAAAACACACACACACACACACACAAAACCGGAAGTGGCATTGTGGCTCAAGTGGTAGAGCGCTTGCCTTGAGCTGAAGAGCTGGACAGCGCCCAGGCCCAGAGCTCAAGCACCACGACCGACAAAAACAAAAAACAAAAAAACAAACAAAAAAGAATTCCCCTTATATAAAGAGGGATATAATAAAATTGACATATATATATATATATATGTGTGTGTGTGCATACACAAACTTTTATCTCTACGTGTGATTCTACAATTTAAACTTTTTCTACCCCAAACTTGCAACAATGAATACACAATAATGTATTAAGAAAAAAGCCCAGGGCTGGGAAGGTAGCTCAGTGGTAGAGAGCTTGCCTTGCATGCCTGAGGCCCTGGGTTCGATTCCTCAGTACCACATAAGCAAAAAGAAAAAAGCCGGAAGTAGCACTGTGGCTCAAGTGGTAGAGCGCTAGCCTTGAGCTGAAGAGCTGAGGGACAGCGCCCAGGCCCAGAGTTTAGGTCCCACGACCGGTTCCCCCCCCCAAAAAGAAAAAAGCCCAAACTTGAGAGGGGAGGGTAATGAGGGAAACAAACTAAAAAAACCCCATATCAACCTAACCTTAGGTTATTTTTTTTTTTGTGGGTTGTGGGGCTTGAACTCTGGGCCTGGGCACTGTCCCTCAGCTCTTCAGCTCAAGGCAAGCGCTCTACCACTTGAGCTACAGCACCACTTCTGGTTTTCTGGTGGTTTATTGGAGATAAGAGTCTCACAGTCTCTCCTGCCCTGGCTGGCTTTGAACCTCGATCCTCAGATCTCAGCCTCCTGAGTAGCTAGGATTACAGGCGTGAGCCACCAGCGCCCGGCTAACCTTAGGTTATTTTGAAGAGAAAGGAAGAGAAACTTAGGTGACATTTTATTTTTCTTTTTTGTTTGTTGTCCAAGCTAGTCTCGAACTCAAGCTCAAGTGATTCTCTAGTCTCATCCCTCAAGTGCTAGCATTACAGGTCCCACTCATGGCTGGACTTCTGTGTCATAAAGTTACAATAAAAGAAACAGATTCATCAAACTGGCATTCCTTAATACTGCTAAAATGCATCCACTTTCTGAGCACACTTCTTAGAACATCTATGACAGAAAGGAGAGTGAATAAGACTAAAATCTGGCAACTATAATCAGGACTGTACTGATTTAAGATCTGACTGAGCTACTGCAACTGATGTTCATTTCAGGGAGAAAAAAAAAGATTGAACAATGGTGTAGGACAAATGATTAAAATACCAGACACTTCATTAGAATCTTACTTACAAAAATGACAGCACCACAAAGCTTAGTAACTGCCTACACCTTGGCAATGACTGTTCTGATACCTTTTTTTTTTTTTTTGGTCATGGGCCTGAACTCTGGGCCGGGGCGCTGTCCTCAGCTCTTCAGCTCAGGGGCAGCCCCTACCACTTGAGCCACAGTGCCATTTCTGGCTTTTTCTGTTTATGTAGGTGCTGAGGAATCGAACCCAGGGCCTCAGGCATGCAAGGCAAGCTTTCTACCACTGAGCTACCTTCCCAGCCCTGGGCTTTTTTCTTAATACATTATTGTGTATTCATTGTTGCAAGGTAAGCACTCTACCACTGAGCCACCTTCCCATCCCAACTTATCATTTATGTATATAGTTATCTCCTAAAAGTGTTTTATAGTTTCTAATTTTCATTAGCACTCTTCCAAAACCCATCTCTAAAAAAGAATTAGCTGGGCCAGGCGCTGGTGGCTCATGCCTATCCTCGCTATTCAGGAGGCTGAGATTTGAGGATCACAGTTCAAGAAAGTCTGTGCAACTCTTGATCTCCAATTAACTACCGAAAAGCTGGAAGTCAAGTTGTGGCTCAGAAGTTGGTAGACCTCTAATCTTGTGCACAAAAGCTCAAGGACAGCACTTAGGCTGAGCTCAACCCCAGGACCAGCACAAAAGAAAAAAAGGAAGCGAGAAAGCATGTGAACTGGCCGTGAGCCAGGATTTAGGATGAGACACAAACCCAAACGGGTTAACAAACCTTTTGGATAGTTGACAACATACACCAGATTTCCCCAGCCAGCATCGGGGGCATGCAGAATCCCTTCCACCAGCCGGACACCTCTCATACACTGAGACACCGGGTTCCTGTAGCGCAGCCCACATGCCCCTGGAAACTGGGCCGTCACCGTGGACAACAGCACGGTACCGTCATCTTCGGATGGGATTTCAATAGGCTCGTCATTCTCGTCTTCCGTTACCCGGATGTACTCAGACATCTTTCCTTACTTAAGAAGAAAGAGAGAGAGAAATGCCCAACAGTTGTGTCACTTATCATCTGCCGATACCACCCTCGAGTTGACTTCCCGAAAAATTCTTGCCATTTGGGCTTCTCCTACTTCACGTGCTACCTCGGACCGGGGAGGAGGCAAGGGCAGCGACAGGATTTATTAAAACGTCACGCCTCGCTAGTCCATTCATTCTTTCCGAGTGCTCACTTACAACACCCCTGAGCGCTAACTCTGCGTCCCATCACCAGGGGGTCAAGGAAGCCAGAGAAGAGGAAAAAGTAAGCTAATCACGATTGGATTTCTCGGACAGCAGGTCTCCTCACGTAGCCCAGGCTGACCTGGACTCAACCCGGGTGCGGGGACGCGGGCGAGCGCCACCTCGCCCGCTCCAAGTCCCTGCTGTATTCTGACCGCGTTAGTAAAACCTCAGCCGCCAGGAGAACGCCAGGCCGGCGGGGGCGGGGGGGGGAGACTTGTGCGCGTGCGTGGGTCGAAGCCGCCATCCCTGAGACGCAATGCTCGAGCCGAGTCTTGAACTGACGGAGGGCGCGGGAGGCTATCCAAGGCGGGGGGGGGGGCTCCCCTCGTCCCTCCG